GACGTTCCTTCCTTCTTTCCGTTATCAAACCATCGTACGGTAAGCGCTTTTCGTGCCGCCGTTTCTCGAGAGGACCCTCGAGGCTGTTAAAGATACTACCTCCTTTGAATACCGGGTGTCTTTCCGTGACCCTCGACGGTTTCACTCTCCTGTCACGTCAAGCCGCAAGTTATCCCCGAGGGACGGCTACTTTTATTCGATCAGTCAAAGATTTCTCAGCTCTCGTCTTGTTGCTCTGTCCGGTCGCTCATCTGTCCTCGCCTTTTCATCACGTTCCCCATAAGTAAACGAATTTCGCCTCGAAGGATGCTCAAAGGAACGTCTGCGTCGGAGGGAAAAGCGCAAGGACGAAATTTAATTCGCCGACAACGTAAGAGAGGCAGGGTGGAATCTTAAAGATAGTCTTGAGCTTCACAAGGGCGTCTGGATTAACCCGACTCAAAGGACGAGAGTGGTATTAGCGCCGAAAAAATTGAAGCAGGCCTGGAAACAAAAGATACGATAATAAAAGAGCTTAGAATATCCGACATTTTACGTATCTATAATAAAGTTGTTTTCGTAGAATGGCATCTATGAAAGCTCGAGTTTTTAATATAGAAAATGATCTATTTCAATATTAAAATCACAATATATGATCTATAATTTATTAAACTTTAACGCAAAGAATTTCCAACAATTAATTTACAATAATTTTCAATATGAGAAAAAGTTTAACTTTTTATTACTTATATTCATTATGTTGAAAAAATAAGATTTTTTTAGTACTCTGTGAGATACCTCGCGAAGGAATTTGTTCATGAATAAATTGTTATTTCTTTTTTTCTTTTGCTCGGTTCGCGCATCATACTTGGCATTAATATTCTGGCTAATAATAAAGTTTAAAGCAATTAAACTGGAATGAGTGACATGTTTTAGTTTTAAGGCTCGGTTATATTTAATACTTCTTTTGCGCCAATTATATTTTGTAGCTTTTTACAACTTTCGTTAAAGTTTCTGGCTCTTAAATTATTGTATAATATATTTATTTATGTCGATTCACGCCTTCCGTGAGATAAAGAACGGATGCAGTAGAGGATTGCTTTAACGTTTTCCAAATTAGCTGCATTTCTGAGGATATAGGAATGAGAAGTAGGAATCGTGGGAATAGTGCTAATGAACGATGGAGAGGGTTGAAGTGAGGTGACCACAAAGGGAGAGAACGGGATGAGTAAGTGGTACTCTCAGACCGGAGATGCGCCCTCCGCGAACAAGAATTTGGGAAGGGACGAAATCTTCAGCAAATCTGGCTCAAGTCGTTCAGATT